CCCCCTCCCCCTTTGGGGGTGGGGTGCAGCTGGGGAGGGGGGCTCCCCGAGAGCCGCTGGGCAGCTTTCTTCCTGCCGCGAAACTGCTCGCCGCCCACTTGCCACCGCGCGCCCCTCGAGTTCTCGCCGCTCGCCTGTCCCCCCAAACTGACAGGTGCTCCCAGCAACTTGCTGGGGACTCCCTGGGCTCCCGCGCGTCCCCCCCCACCCCTTCCTTCCCTCGCCTCCCCCACCCCCACCCCCACCACTTCGGCACAGCTCAGGATTTGTTGAAACCTTGGGAAACTGGTTCAGGTCCAGGTTTTGCTTTGATCCTTTCAAAAACTGGAGACGCCGAAGAGGGCTCTAGGAAAAAGTCTTGGATGGGATGATGTGGAAACCACCCTGTGACTCTCCGCTGCCAGAGCAGGCTCGGCGCTGCCTCCCCAGAGCAGCCTTCCCCCGGCGGGGGTGAACGAGCCGCCGCAGCCGCTGCGTCCCCAGTGCCCGCCGAGCGTCAGCCCTCGCCCCGGTCAGCCAGATGCACCTCCTCGGGCTTCTCCTGCTGACATCTGCCCTGGGCGGCCGCAGACTCGGGACCCAGGCCGAGTCCGGCCCGAGCGGTAAATCCCAGTTCTCCAGCCACAAGGAGCAGAACGGTAAGACGCCCCCCCTACCCGCGCCACTTGTTGCTCGCCGGGCTCCGGGGGTTAAACTTGGCATTGGGAGCGGTGGTGGGGTGTACACCCTCTTGCGAGATCTCCTCGCTCTGTTCGCTGGCGTGGACCTTTCCAGATGGCGTGTCCTTTGCAATTTCGGAAGCTACCACACACAGCTCTCGCGGGGCAACACGAGTTCCCCTGCAGCCTCAGTTAGAGAGGACCTGCTGGAAGAGACTGTAAATGTCATTTCAAACGCAGGTTTTAGGACCTTTCACGGCCAGAGTGAGAAGTTCATGAGCTGCCTCTAAAAAGGAATGATCCTTGGCGTGTTTGCTTTTACTCAGATGTATGTATTGTGGGGTGTTGTTGTTGTTGTTGGTGGTGGTGGTGGTGGTAGGGGATGTATCAACTATATTAATGGAAGCACTTAAACGGAAAGTACGTGGGATATATAGAGGTCAAGAGGCTGCGTGGACATTTTAAGGTGGATGAGAAAACCTATTGCTCTTGAGCTCTTATTTTAAAAGTGGCTTTGTATTCTAAAGTTCTTACCTTTCTGGTGGTGTGTTTTTATGTGTTTGGTGAATGGCTGCTATTTTGTGTGCTCTGGAAACGACTTAATCCTGCATAGGAAATGAGAATTACTTTCAGCTTTCAAGTGTACCTGAAATGTTTAGAAAACTCTCAGATGCAAGTTCCCTTGGGCTGGGATTGCCAGAGCTGGAGAAAGGCTCCTTTCATAAAGCCAGGGCAGCTTCAGGGTGTGTAATTTGCTTAGCCTCTGAACCCCATATGATTTACATCATTCAGTTTCTAAACTCTTTTTCTCTTGATCTACTATTATGAAGTCATTTTTGAGAAGACTTTGTAAATAGAAATGTTATACTGCACATGAAACCACAATGTAATTGTAGGCTGTTTAAAATTAGAATATTAAACATCTTGCTTGCAACAAGTGGTGGCTTTTAATGCAATTTGAAGAGAAGCGCACACGCACACTTTTTTACTGCTTCCCATGCCATTGATGAAGAATGCAAGAATGCTCTCACCTCATTAACCAGGCGAGATAAACACAAGCGGAAACCTGCATAATCGCATGGTTCCTCCGATGTTTCTTTAGGCAATGGGCATTTCAAAGCTTCGACTTTGAATTTGAATCCTCTGTAATGTTCACCTTTCAGATAAGACACAGGAATTTCTTGAGTGAAAAAACGGGGATACAATAAAGGATTCCTGGGACTTTTGTAGACGGCATCCGCCGTTTTGTGTGTGCATGCTGCCGGCACTGTGTCACGTTTATCAGCCAATAGTGGGGTGGTGGTTTCTTACAGCTTGCTAGTGTGATGGCACATGGCACCTGCAGCCTGCTTGAGCTGCTGATCAAAGGGCAGTCTAGGGATCTCTCTAATCACAGGAGCTGCAGAGGGCTGGGGGAAAGTGATCAAAGGAGCCATAGCACCAGCTGTACCCTGGCAGGAAGCAGATCAGACCAACCTTTGTTCTTTCTCATGTAAAATAAATGTCCAGTTTAAAATATTGCTTCTCACTGGACAAGCTTTTCCTCAGTAACCACAATGTACAAAAGGCCCTAGCTTCTGTCCCTTATTTTCGCTTGCTCATGCTCTTTATAATTTCCACTATAACTCTGTGTTATCAAGCCCATGCCTGGCATCTGGCATCTTCCCCAATTCCCTTTGCCACCTTTGCCCTTTGTACCTCTCCATTGTTCCTTTCTTCTCTGTCTCCTTGGGATTCAGATGCCACCAGCATTTGGTAATGGGCCCCAGGGTTCTCATGCAGTCATTGGCTTGTACCAGTTGTAGGTTCACACCCTAGGGAGAGGTTCATTAACCCAGGCATTCTGTTGCCGTCTGTGCGTGGCAGGGCCATTTTCGTGCCGAAGATGTATGATGCTAAAAATAACCTGGTGGCTTGCTAATCTGTGGGCAGACATTGAGCTATGTTTAGCTCTTGGGAGCAGTGGCAGCAGGAAGTGAGTAGAGGTAGGGAAACTCTCACCTTCTAGGTTTTAGTTAAAGGGGAATGGGACCGGTCAGCACTAGGGGGCAATGTAGAACTATTTTCTTGCACATGCTCAGGTTGATTTTACTGCTTCAAGAGTCCAGGGTTTGAGGATAACAGGTAGGTGGTAGGGAAAAGCTTCTCGGAACTGACACCAGATTTGTTGGAACTTATTTTGTCATTGTTTGCTTTCAAATGTTCTTTTCCCTCAAAAGGATTTTGTTGCCTTCCTGTTGAGTCACGTTGATTTGTTATTGCCGTGTCGCTGTCTGCATTTGGAAAGTAGGCCCGGTCTCTAAGTACAAACCTCATCAGAATACCACATCGAAAGTGCCGTTGGCACAGTTCAGGCAGGTGTCGTTTGGTCAGTGCTAAATCTGGAATGTCTAAATTGATCTGTTGTGACCAAGGATGATCCCCTTTCAGCATTCAATTCTCTCCCCATTGTAGTCTTTCTCCTGGAGTAGTCCATTGTTTCTAACAGTGCCCACTCTACCAAATTCTCAGGCCTGCTCAGTTTCAATAGTCCCTTGGTATCCCAATAGATTCTATAAGTTGGAGTTGATTACCATAACTGATTAGATAGATGTATTTAAACAGGAGCATGTAGAGAAGCTTCAAAATTAGTTTGGGGAGATGAATGTCATTTAGCCCACCAATACTTACCTGGATTTTACAGAGTGGAGGATAAATCCATGGTGTGGTGTGGCACTGATGAACCATATAACTATCCTTTAGTTCAGTGGTTCTCACCCTTCCTAATGTCGTGACCATTTATACAGTTCCTCATGTTGTGGTGAGCCCCCAACCATAAAATTATTT